TATGAGCTCAATTGCAACAATTAATCTTCTTGTATGAAGCATGGTCAATTGGTCTGAAGCCTGATAATACATGAAATGTTAGATCTTGAGCTGAATGGGTCTTCTTGAATCTTGATCCACTAATTTATATATTCTATATGGTACTCCATCCGTCCCAGAATGATAAGCGTATTTTGATCATGATGAAAAGGTCAAACAAAAAAAATGAAGATTTTGACTGCTACTTTCTCTTACTATATATTGTCATTTGCTAAAGAACCAATATAACTTCAGAGGCAATTTGAATACAGATCCACCGATACAAGTTTCATGTCCTAAATTTTATAGTTTGAATAACTGTAGGTTAAAGTTTATATAAGTTAACTTTATACTGTTCGAAATATGATTATCATTTTGGAAGGAGGCAAATCTAAAGATATGATTTGGTGTGGCCACGGCGCGGCCTCAGGGTGGCCACGTCGCCGGCTTTTCGCGGCCGTTCGATCGGCCGCGCGGACGGCCCAGATCGGGCGAGCCGCGGTCGTTTTACGAAAAACCCCTTTAAGTTTTCGGAAATCAACCCGCGCTCCAGACGTCCTCTCAGATTTTTTTACAAAAAACGCCTCGTATTATTTCCAAATCAACGCTCAGTCCAGACCGGATGGGCACTGGTTTGTTTGCAAAAAAGACCTCCACTTTATCGAAAATTAGCTCGCGCTCCCTAGACACTCACCGTTTTTTGCGAAAACATCATCAGATTTTTCTCAAATCAAAATACAGCCCAACTTTGATTATATCCTTTTTTTTCTCCAAAAAAATACGTGTGGCCAGTGGACCGCGCGCATGGGCGCGCCCGAAAAACTAGTATGATTATCGTTCCGAAGTATATGTATGCATGCGCAAAATCTCTTTTGTTGAGATTGTCACAAGAACCGCCAGAATTCTTTGCAGAGATCAGTTACACAAGAGCTTGCTTTTATACTCGATTACTGATTAGCACTTGCACAATTGCAGAGCCATATTTTTTTAACCCAAGTTCCAAATTGACATTTTAAAATGAAACTACATAAGCAAGTACAAAATCACACAATGAATGGACGAATAATTAAATCTGTAAGGCAGAAATCTGCTGATGCAAACAAAAGTCAGTTGTATAAAGGTGTGCTGCTGACCATTGGCGTGACAATGACCAAATACAAACCCTATAAAACAATCTTGCAGCTCATAATTTAAATCTCTAATAGTGCACACAACTTCTGAACGTTGATGTGAAGATGGGCATCTCCCAAATACAACAACAACAACAACAACATAGTCTTTCAGTCCTAAGCAAGTTGGGGTAGGCTAGAGTTGAAACCCACCAAGAACCCCAAGTCACGGTTCATGCACTTTAATAGCTGCTTTCCAAGTAGTTCTATTCAAACATAGATCTCTAGGTATATTCTAAGCTTTCAAATATCTTTTTATTGTCTCCCCATGTCAATTTCGGTCTTCCTCTACCTCTCCTCATATTGTTAGCTTGGCTTAGGACTCCACAATGCACTGATGCCTCTGGAGGAATCCTTTGGATATGACCAAACCACCTTACCCGATGTTGGACAAGCTTTTCTTCAATTGGTGCTACTTCTAGGCGATCGCGTATATCATCGTTCGAAACTCGGTCCATTCTTGTGTGACCGCAAATCCATCGCAACATATGTATTTATGCAACACTCAGTTATTGAACATGTCGAATCTTTGTAGGCCAACATTCTGCTCCATACAACATAGCCGGTCTAATCGTCGTTCTATAGAACTTGCCTTTTAGCTTTTGTGGTACCCTCTTTTCACAGAGAATGCCAGAAGCTTGTCGCCACTTGAACCACCCTGCTTTGATTCTATGGCTAACGTCCGCATCAATATCTCCATCCCTTTGTAGCATCGATCCCAGATACCGAAAGGTATCCTTTTTAGGCACTACTTGACCTTCTAAACTCACATCTCCCTCCTCCTGTACAACTCCGTCAAAGTCCCATCTCATGTATTCGGTTTTAGTTCTGTTCAATCTAAAACCTTTAAACTCAAGGGTCTGTCGTCATAACTCTAGTTTCCTATTTACTCCCGCCTAGCTTTCGTCCACTAACACTATATCATCAACAAACAACATACACCAACGGATATCCCCTTGTATGTTCCTGGTAACCTCATCCATTATCAAGGCAAAGTATTGGGTATCGATATTAGGGATACCCAAAGCAAGGAGGTTAGCGTCAATTCTGACTTTCCCGAATGAAGCAAGACGTATTAAAAGGTCTCGTCCGACCCCAAGCCGCGGGGGTCTCACCCAAGGCCGCGGGCTCCGTCTAGCTTGACCCCTTGGGTGCGGGCTCCACCTCGCCCGACCCCAAGGACGCGGTTTCCACCTCGCCCGACCCCAAGGCCGGGTCTCACCCAAGGCTACGGGCTCCGCCTCGCCCGATCCCTTGGGCGCGGGCTCCGTCTCGCCCGACCCCAAGGGCGCGGTTTTCATCTCGTCCGACGGAGACCCATACAGCCGCCAACCACTCCTGGTCCAAGCGTATGGGCCTGGGTCAAAACTCTGACACCAGGGAAGAGACTAGCACGCCTCGATGTAACCCATGGCCATGACGGGCCATACCTGAGGATTCACATCAAGAACAGCGTCAGGCGTCCCGGTGCTGTTCTGCCTAACCCTCGTACGAACGCTGACAGGCGCGTCAGTTCTCCACGACGTCAGCCGGGATGAAATGGAACGCCATGACAGGCAGATGACGCCTACGCATGGAGCCAATGACGAACAGGGCCATGACGTGGAGCCATCCCTGTTGACATCTACAGGATCGGTGGGACCCGCATGAAGAAGAAGAAGGGCCCGGCGATCCTGGAAGCCTTCTTCTCTCTCGTTCTTCTCCTTTTCCTCCGTTGTAACCCGTGCTTTCCCTTCGCCTATAAAAGGGGAAGCAAGACACCCCATGAAGGGGGATCCAGATCCACACGAGACCGAACCACGAGATAAAAGCGCAAGAGCACGACATGAGCACACGGCTGAGCAGCGATCGAGCTCTCAGCACCCGTTCACTTCTTCCACCAGAGACTTGGGATCCTTTCCCTCTCTCGCCTGTTTTTAACCCCTACTGCAAACCAAGTGCTGGTAACACGAGCAGCAGCAAACTGGACGTAGGGACGTTCCGCCCGAATCAGTGTAAACCCTTGTGTCCTCCGAGCACACCATCCGAGCCAGACGTGCAAATACAAATTTACTCGTCGGTGATCTGAAAACACCGACACAAAGAGATACGGGTTTAAGGCTGACCCTTGATGAAGTCCAATTTTAATCGAGAAGTAATCTGTGTTACTATCGTTTGTTCGAACATTAGTCACAACATTATTGTACATATCCTTGATGAGGGTCACGTGCTTTGATGGGACTTTATGTTTGTTCAAAGACTACCACATAACATTTATTGGTATCTTGTCATAAGCCTTCTCCAAGTCAATGAAAACCAAGTGGAGGTCCTACTTCTGCTCTCTAAACCACTCTATAACCTGTCTTATTAAGAAGATTGCTTCTGTAGTCGACCTTCCGGGTATGAAACCAAATTGGTTTGTTGATATCTGCATCGTTCCTCGCAGGCGCTGCTTGATGACTCTCTCCCATAACTTAATAGTGTGGCTCGCCAACTTAATTCCCCGATAATTAGTACAACTTTGGATATCTCCCTTGTTCTTGTAGATTGGTACCAATATGCTTCTTCTCCACTCCTCAGGCATCTTGTTCGATCGAAAGATATTGTTGATCCCAAATACAAACGCTACAAAATAATCTTGCAATTCATCCTTGAAATTTGGTACAGAAATGATAAAGGGCCTCAGCTTCAGAACAGTGACCTATGCATTCGCACAATCACACTTTCCTACCTATTGCTTTCCCCCTTGATAAAAAAATTGAAGTATTAACTTTCAAAACTATTAAAGTTTGGAGTTCTATGCAGTCTCACAATTCAACAATTTGTTGTACAGTCCAGATTGTATGTTGGAAGGAGAAATCGTGTCTAGCCTTTGCTTCTTGTTCACCTCTGATGATTTTGTTTTTAAGGCTGCACCTGTGACTTTCGAATTTCCAACTGCGACAAATGCTACTCTCCTCCTAGTCTCGGCTTCAGAATCTCGCGAGTACTAAGGGTGTCAGGAACTGAACAAGAACCGCTTTTATTTTCTAGCTGCCTCCTGCTGTGAAAACCTCCAACATCACTGGAATGGATCATTTTATCTGGTTGCTCCACTAGAGCAGCGTCTCGCTGGCTGGCTGGCCAGTTCGTTTCTTCTAGGCTTTTCATATCTGAAATTGGTCACAAAAGGGCAATGGAATTAAAAAAGAATGCTTTTGAAGTTAAAGACCATAGAACCATAAAAATAGAACTGGTCATGTTCTACTTCTACATAATAATAAAAGGATGTTGCTACAAAACCTTTTGTTTTGTTCCCTAAAGCAATAACTGACTTTTAAATTAACAAACTTATAAGCTACAATTATATAAATAACTCCATATATAGCTGTAATAGGCAAAACATAGAGCATTTCAGTCAGAACCATCACCATGTTAGCTTATCATTCAAGTAGGCTATGTAAGGTTAAGTAGACTTTTTCCGCACCATAAATCATGCCACCATGTGTGAACCGTAACTGTTGAATATACACCCTAACGTGACATACTTCCAAAGATTGATGGACTAACCTCAAAAGCCATACTCGCGCCTTGGTAGTTGGTAGCTAGCTTGGGAATCATGGTAATTTTATAGTAAAATAATTCAAAATATCTTCAAAGATTTAATTTGAGCTATGTTCTTAACATTTAACAATGCAACGACGCTACTAAGGTGCTTGCTTTTCAATCAAAATCAGCAACAAAGCACCAGGCATTCTCGTGATTCATGAGCATGTCAACTAATTATGACAAAGGCAACAAATAATTCAAGATCAATGGATTATCATGCATTTAAAGAATAGAAGATAAAGCGTTTCAACCTTCACTAATGAATGCAAGTGTTTCATACTGGATTGGAGATTCAGGATCACAGCACTTCTGATCCTTACCTTGGGTTTCCTGACAGATATCAGTAACCTTTTCATGCAAAATGAATTTATCTTTTACCCATACGCACTCCAGAACTGTACATGCATCATTCATAGAGGGGTAGTACTCTCTCAAAGCCTGTGGGAATAAGAGAAAGAAAAGAGGCAAAGTTATTTAGTGAAATCATTACATTCGCTAGCAAGATCAGTTTGTGTGAAAAGTGAAAACAATGGTCTCAGGCAGTACGGTTTCTCCATGATATACAAAATGACATCATTGCTAGTGTGGAAGTAAAATATACCTGCACTCTGCTGATGCCAATCTTAACAGCCTGCTTCCTATCAGTAAGATCATTGACCTTATTGTATATTGACACAACCTCAAGTAGCATCTGTGAAACAAATACCAGAGGGTCAGCATCTATGGCAAAAGCTATGTAAGGAAAACAGAAAGAATAATAATATTATCTAGCATGTGATTCCAAGGTGACTTTCCTAACTTGTTAGGAGAGTGCATGTCAACAATGATTACTGAATTTTCTTGATACACTATTAGCCATGCTTATAGATTATAACCTTCACCTGTTGGATCAGGACCCTTACTCGTGCAAGCAAAGAAAACACTGCCATGCAAAGATCAACAAAGAATGATCTAGCAAGTAAAAATGTTATCTCACTGTAATTTAGGTTAAGGAACTTTGGACATCTTTCAATTGCAATAGTAATAATGAAATGGTCAATGCGAGACATATATGGTTTAAGGTAAGCCAAGTGAAACTACACAAGCACAACTAGTCCTATCTGTGACCTAAGAAATTAAACAGAAACATGATATAACAAGCAAAACAAAAAGGATACATTGCTTCCTTCATAACAGGTTCATACATCTGCACGGGACAGAAATTTTTTGACTGAGGTTCTATACGATATTAAGTTGGGCAAAGTCTGAAATCTCACTTTGAGCCTACTAGTCAAGATTCCAGTCACATCAAAGCTCAACAAACACAGAACACACCTGGGATAACAAGCGGGCAACACCCAAAAGCCTCTCATGATGGCTGTGGTTTGCACCAGGTTTCTTCTTAGTCTGCCTATATCAGAATTCAGAAAAAAAAAGTTTTAAGTAAAAATCCAAACATGCCAATAATCAGATAATAGCAAGTGAAATTTGTAAGAAGAGTAACTACAATAACAGACTGACTTGGTGGGGACGAGGATCGTGTTGGCCGGCTTGCGGCATGCGAGAACCGGGAACACGGCGTTGAGGACCTCCGTGAAGCCGGCGCCGAGCAGCAGCTTCAGGTCCCTCCTTACCTGCGCGCACAGAAACTCGCTACCATTCGCTCAGTGGTCAGTGGGATGGCAGGTATCATCAGGAGGTGTAGAGGAGCAGCCGGGCCTCACCTTGAGGAGGTACTGGAAGTAGGCAGCGCCACGGTGCTGGTTCTGGTGCTTGTGCTTGTACATCAGGCGCTCCAGCACCCCCGCCTCTGCCTGCAGGTAACGCTTCGCCGTCGGCAGCCGCTGCTCCGCGTCGTCCTCCCCTGTAGTACTAGTACCCGTCTCCGACCTCTGCGACATGGTTTGACGGCGTGTGGGAGCGTGGTGGCGGGGACTTGTGGTCGGGATCGGGCCTCAGGGATGCGCTCTGCCTGGGCGGCTGGGCTGGTTGGGAGACTCGAGGGATTTTGACCCAATGCCTGTGGAGATTTTTGGGCCACTAGGGCACTCATTTTGGCCCAATTCTTGTAGGAGATTTTTGGGCCCTAGTGACCCTAGGCCTATATCCGCCCCTTGACGGATCTAGAAATCGGACAAGGGAGCTGATCTTGAAGGCTATTGCTGGATTTGAGGGGGGTAGGAGGGAGGAACGAGCGATGCGAGCTTCAGGGCATGTACAACGGCGTCTTTTTCCCGTCTCCGTGATGGGCTTTTTTGCAGGAAACCCCCGTTTAGCCGCGCCACGCGCGCCCCGTCGCCTCGTGAGGCGACGGCCTTCTCCCGTGCTCCGAGGCGGAAGAGACGGCGGCGGCTCCGTTGTACGGCCTCGTCTTCTAGAGGCGACGGCGCGCTCGGATCCCGCGTGGGTAGGAGTCGATGGCGCGCGCAGGCAAAAGATTTGGGCGCGCGCGGGAGTTTTCCGCGCCCAATCCATCTCCACCCGCCATATCTCCGCCTCATCCCGGTTCCCCCAATCCGCCTCATCCTGGTTCCCCCAATCCGCCTCATCCATCTCCACCTCGCACTCTCGAGATGTCCATGTCGGCCGCAGCTAGGAAGAAGAAGGCATCCACACCGTCGGCGTTGGATGCGGCGGCGGCGGCCCCAGCCCGTACCCTCGGTCGCGGTGGCTTCTCGACGCCGACAGCTCTCTCTCTCTCGGTCGTGGTGGCGGCTCGGCGCTGACGGCCTGCTCTCTCAGACGTGGCGGCAGCTCAGCAGCAGCAGGGACCCGCCCAACCACCGGTGGTGTCGGCAAGGGCGCGGCGACGGCGCCATCCTCCATTGATGGATCCAGCGTTGGTGGCTTCCCCAGCATAGATGGATTTCCGTTCCCTCATTCACCGTCTCAAGCTTGGTTTGATGCGGCCGGCAGTGATCCCTCTTCTCCTGTATCATGGTAATCCCTCTTCTCCTGGTTTGTGATTTTTTCAATTTACAATCATTGTTTAAGATCCAGTAGAAGAATAACATATATTGGATATATGATTGTGCTATATTCTGCAACTTTTTGGATAGATGATTCTGCTATATTCTGCAACATATTGGATAGATGATTGTGCTATATTCTGCAATATATTGGATAGATGTTTGTACTGTGCTATATTCTTGCAACTCAAAGCCATAGTGGTTATTGTTTGTTTCCTGCAGGGACAAAGATCCACGTCCATCTGGTGGTTTCATGAGCTACTTTGGAAATCAGCCACACAACTTTCATTTGGTTGGTGCACCTATTTGCAACAGCCCTTTGAATAGACCACTGTCCACCAACAATGATGCAAGTTCACAGCCTGAAGTAGAAATATTACTTGACCATGACAATGTTAGGACTGAGAAGAGGATCCTATGGACAGAGGAAGAGGATCTTAGATTGATGAGAGCTTGGATAGAACATTCAACAGACTCTACCTGTGGAGCCGATAAGGGTGGTAACCAGTATTGGGGTGAGGTTATTGAATCCTACAACAAGACTACCCCACCACTTCGAAAGAGAAATCTAAAGCAATGCAAGGATAGATGGCACAAGATTAATAGGTGGACGGACCTCTTTGAATGTGCTTATGTAAAGGCTCGCAGAGTATTTACAAGTGGATATTCTGATCAAATGTGGATTGATGCAGCCCACAAGTTCTATGTGGAGGACAACAAAGATGCAAAACTAGGACCCTTTGTTGGGATTGAGGTTTGGAAAATTTGTCGAGAAGTGTCAAAGTGGAAAACATACAATGAAGAGCTGAGGAATGCACATAAAAGGAAATCATTTCACCTTGAAGAAGAAAGGGATCAGGAAAATGATGAAAGTTTGGAAGAGATGCCAAATCGACCAATGGGTTAGAAGGCAGCCAAAAAGGCAGCTCTAGCTGCAAAAGGCAAGTCAAAAGGCTCCAGCAGTGAAGATGATGGTAACTCAAAGGAATTTGCTATTGATCTAGACAAATTAGGCAAATTCCAGGAGGAAACAAATGCAAACCGTATGAAGATATTGGAACTGCAGCAGAAGCTATCATCTGAGAAGCTTGAGACCACAAAACTTGCCCACCTTACTACACAAGAGACCAAAAAGGGAAAGATGGTTGAGAAAGAATCAAAGATGATGGAGGCTTATAACAGCCTCATCTTACAAGATACAAGTTCAATGTCCGATGTGGAAAAGGCGGAGCGAGTTGCTGCCATGAAGTGTCTTAGGAAGGCCCTTTTCACGAAAGTGTGGTGAGCACAGTAACTTGAGCAACTCATACACCTCTACACCGCCATGAAGAATTTGAGCAACCTAAACCTCTCATTTTTGGGACATGGTGTGATCTACGATGTTTGTCATCCGAGTGCTATCTACTATTTACCTGAATGTGAATGTGCTATCTATCTACTAGTGACTGTGAATGTGAATGTGAACATGTCATTTGAATGTGCTATCTGAATGTGAACATGTCATCCTGAAAGTGGCTGTGAATGTGCTATCTATCTGAATGTGAACATGCCATTTAAATGTGAATATGCTATCTATCTGAATGTGAATGTACTATCTAAATGTGAATGTGCTATCTGAATGTGAACATGTCATCTGAATGTGAATGTGCTGTCTATGTGAATGTGAGGCAGAAGCTATCATACTATAAATTGGCACCAGTTAGTTCATTTTCCACCGCCCTGCTCTAGTTAGTTCCTATGGAGCAAGATGAGGTGCAAGATGCCGAGGACTTTGATCCCGCAGAGGTGTTCACTATAGAAGATATGCTAGCAGAGGATGGAATCTTAGAAGATATGATACAAGAGGAATTGAAGGCCTACATCGATGGAGAAGCATCAACAGTATCTCGCCGTCACCGACAAACTGGACCGCGCAGGTGAAAGGTCGAGATGGCCACTAGAGGGGGGGTGAATAGTCCTTTTTAAAACTTAATCGCGTCGGCTAACCGAAACAAGTGCGGAATTAAAACTATCGGTCTAGCCAAGACTACACCCCTCTATCTATGTTCTTTAGCACCTTTCAAATATACTAATTAAGCAATTAAGGTGCCGGGTTAGCTAGAGCTCACCTAAGCAACTCTAGGAGCAAGGTCACACAAACCTATGTCACTAGTACTTTAAGCGACAAGGGAGCTCCTACACATGCTAGTAAGCAAAAGCACAAAGCCACCTAAGCTCACTAGCAATGCTCAATAACAAGGCAACCAATGCCAAATTAGAGAGCGCAAATACTTAGCTACACAAACTAAGCAATTGTGACTAACAAGGTTACTCAAACCAAATTAGCCACGCAAGGGAGCTACTTCTATGCTACACAAGCAAGAAGGTAACTAATATGCTACACAAGCAAACTAATTACAAGAGCAACTACACAAGCTTAATATATATGAAAGTAAATGCAAGCTTGTGTAATGGGGAAGCAAACCAACGGGAAGAACAAGGTTGACACGATGATTTTTCTCCCGAGGTTCACGTGTTTGCCAACACGCTAGTCCCCGTTGTGTCGACCGCTCACTTGGTGGTTCGGTGGCTAATTAGCATCACCCGCTAAGCCCGCACGTCGGGCGCCGCAAGAACCAACCCCGGAAGTAAGGGTAGCTCAATGACACGCTTTACTAAAGTTGCTCTTCACGGCTCCCGCGGGGCGAGCACAATGCCCCTCACAAAGCACTTCTCCGGAGCGCGCACAAGCTTCTTGCGGGCTTCGACGGAGACCACCACTAAGCCATCTAGGAGGTGGCAACCTCCAAGAGTAACAAGCACCACCGACTTGCAACTCGATCACCTAGTGTCACTCGATGCAACCTCATGATGCAATTGCACTAGAATCGCTCACTCACACAATCGAATGATCACTATCAAGTATATGTGTGATGGAGGGCTCCCAAGCACTCACAAGCATGGACACTAAGTCCCCTTAGGTGCTCAGCCCTCGCCATGGCCGAGAGCCACTTCTATTTATAGCCCCAGGGGCTAAACTAGCCGTTACCCCTTCACTGGGCAACGGTCGGGTCGACCGGACGCTCCAGTCGTTTGACCGGACGCTAAGCCCCCAGCGGCCGGTTGCTCGTAGTCAGCCACATGTTTCACTCCAACGGTCATCTGCCTTGATCGAATGGATGCTTCGGTCAGTTGACCGGACGCTGGACCATCAGCGTCCGATCGTTTCCAGTAAGGGTCCAAAACCGATTTTTATCGACCGGACGCGTCCGGTCATTCTTGACCGGACATAGCCCAGCGTCCGGTGCATAACCCTAAGCACTATGCAGACCGACCACTTGACCGGACGCACCCCTTTAGCGTCCGGTCGCCGAGCGACCCAGCGTCCGGTCAATAGACCGACGCCAACATCTCACTGTTACACATGACCGGACGCGCCGGTCCCTCAGAGGTCCAGCGTCCGGTCACTGTATAACCAGCGACACTAACTCGTTTTTACTTCTAGTTTCTGCACCCTTGCTCAAATGTGCTAACCACCAAGTGTATCACCTTGTGCACATGTGTTAGCATATTTTCATAAATATTTTCAAGGGTGTTAGCACTCCACTTGCCACGCCACTCAATCCTAGCGACGATGTAAAGTTATATCACTCGAGTGGCACTAGATGACCGATATGCAAACAAGTTTGCCCCTCTTGATAGTACGGCCATCTATCCTAAACCCGGTCATAAACTTCTCTACACACCTATGATCGGTGAAATGAAATGCCCTAGGTTATACCTTTGCCTTGCGCATTCCATTCCATCTTCTCCAACGTCGATGCAACACATGCACCAACACGATCAACAATAATATGATCCACTTCATATCATCATGTGATCATATTGGTTCATCGATCTTGACTTCACTTGCTCTTCACCGTTGCCATCGTCCATCGGCGCCAAGTCTTGCTCAAGCTTTACCGCCACGCGGTCCATCACTCCAAAGCCTCCGACTTGCCCTTCACGCTTGCAACCGGTCCATCAAGCCAAGTCTTGTCTTGATCTTCTCCACCTTGATCACATGACTCAATGCCATGTCTCATGTGCAATAAGCTCCTTCATCATCACATGTGTGAGCTTTGCAACATCTCCAAGCCATTTTCACCTTCATGGCATGTGTTACACACATGTACTTGTGGACTAATTACCTGTGTATCTCACATAAACACAATTAGTCCACCTAGGTTGTCACTCAATTACCAAAACCAAACAAGGACCTTTCAGCAGGTACATACCAAGGAATCGAGAAGCAGCTCATGATGATCTTGTCGCTAATTACTTTTCTGCAAATCCTATCTACACCGATGAGATGTTCTGTAGGAGATTTAGGATGAATAAGCCACTGTTCTTACGTATCGTGCATGCACTCAGTGATTGGTCTCCTTATTTCACCCAAAGACCCGATGCTACTGGTAGGAATGGACTTTCACCGCTTCAAAAGTGTACCGCGGCTATCAGGATGCTAGCTTATGGAACCTCGGCTGATCAACTTGATGAGGTGTTAAAGATAGCTGCAAGCACTTGTTTGAAGATTTTGGGAAAATTTGCTGAAGGGGTGATTGAAAAATTTGGTGAAGAATATCTACACCCTCCAAGAAGCGATGAACTGGAAAAAATATTACGAGAAAATGAGGCTCGTGGTTTTCCAGAAATGTTGGGAAGCATCGATTGTATGCATTGGGCATGGAAGAATTGTCCGAAAGGTTGGGTAGGCATGTTCACACGTGGTGATAAAGGCGTTCCTACTATAATCCTTGAAGCGGTGGCAACTCGGGATCTTTGTACATGACATGCTTTCTTTGGTACCGCCGGGTCTCAGAACGACATAAACGTTCTGCACAAGTCACCACTGTTCATTCAAGCAATAAAAAGGGAAGCTCCTACGGTACACTATAATGTAAATGGAACACAATATGACATGGGTTATTATCTTGCCGATAAAATATATCTAGAATGGGCAGTATTTGTGAAGACAGTGATGGCCCCTCAGTCGGCGGAAGACAAATTATTTGCATTGATGCAAGAAGGGGCGAGGAAAGATGTCGAGTGCGCATTTGGTGTGCTGCAATCACGCTTTGATATTGTTCGTCGACCAACAAGGTTATGGAAGCAGGGGGGACGTTATCAACATAATGCAAGCTTGTGTTATTCTTCATAATATGACAGTGGAAGATGAGAATGATTCAATTAGAGAAGTCTTGGATTTGAATGAGAATCCAAGTGTGACGATAGTGCTCCCACCTAAAGTGCGTACAAGTGACAACCCTAATCCTACCTTCGCAGAGGTACTTCGTAGAAATTCCACTATCAAAGCTCGGCCAACACATAGGAAACTCAAGAAGGATCTAATCGAGCACATATGGCAACGCTATGGAAACAAAGGAAATTAGATAAAAGACGATGCATCTATATGAAATATAATTATTATATTGATGGTTTTTAAAAATATTGTAATCATGTTGCTCTTATTTATTCTTAATATATTTTTTATCAAATAGTCACATAATGGTATACAAAAATTTATTTATAGTTGATCCTAACTACATGCAAAGTATTAAACAGTTTAGAGACGGACCCCCTGTCTGTGGGTTGTATGACATGTCTTTATACCTGTCTGTATGATAGATTCGAAGCGCTTAGAGACAAACACCTGTCGGTTGTACATGCCCTCAGCCGCACTGAGTACGTGACGACTGTGCATGGGGGCGGAGCACCAAGTGCGCGACGCCGCATCGGAAACCATCTGGTCCGAACGGCTGGACTGGAGGCGCGCGCCGAACAAAGCGCGGGAACGGTGCGCGGGAGGCCATGCGCGGGAATAGTACGCTGGAGACCAGGCACGGGAGGCAGTACGGCACGTAATGTTTCCTTTTCTTTTTTCTTATTTATTTTTTCTTTCCTTTCTATTTTCTTTTCTTTTCTTTTTATTGTTTTATTTCCATGCTTCTGTTTATTCTTTCTTTTTCTTTTCTTTTTTAGTTTTCTATGTTTTTCATTCTTATTTTATTTCCTTTTCTTTTCTTATTTTTCTTTACCTTTTATGTTTCTTTTTTTATTTCAATTTATTTTTATTGTTTTTCCTTGCTTCTATTTATTCTCTCTTTTTCTTTTCATTTTAAGTTTTCAATGTTTTTCATTCTTATTTTATTTTATTTTTTATTTTTTCTCTTTTCCTTATTCTTCTCTCATTTCTTTTCTTTTTTTTCTTTCTATTTTTTTGTGCTTCATTTTCCATTTTTATTTCCTTTTTGTTTTATGAGATTA